TGAGCACACAGCGCTGCCGACAAACTCGGTCCTTCCAGCATCACGCGGCACTAGCGTGTTTGGCTGCCGTTCAGTAATTACATTAAGCCAGCGCTGCTAAAGTCAGTAGCACGCAGAGATAACGCTCTGGATGCGTTCAGCTAGCTGGAAGGAGGAAGAGGAGGAAAGGCCACGCTGGCTAAGGCACAAGCCGTATTTCTCCCCAGCTTCCCGCCTGCGGAGAAGGTGCTGGCCGGCCATCTGCCCTGGCAGCGCGGGCACTGAACAACGCTGCGACCGATGCACCCAGGAGTCTGTCTTCTGGGCCAGCCTCCCTGTGCCATTTCCCTCTTTCTCACCCATGTGATGCCGGATACGGTTCTCTCCGACGCTGCAGGCCCAGGGCACAGGGAGCAGGGGCCGTTTCCCTGCCATAGCAGCCTGTCTGAGCTACAGCACCTCAAATTGTCCCATCCTACGCTGTACGTAGGCAGGACTTTATGCTGGAACGGTCCAGAACATTACGCTGAAATCCAAGTCATCGCAGGGCTGCTTTTTAGCATGCTGGCCTGCTGCTCTGGCACCCTTAACCAGAATTAGCCCCGAGTATAAATATTAAGCTCTTTGGGCGACCATTGTTCACACTTATTTTGAGTCAGACAGATGCCTTCAGAGAAACAAAAGTGTTTCGAACAAACAGCAAGGAACCCTCTGCATGTATATGATAGAGATTGAGCGTGGAAACCCAAGACAAAGAGCCCTGGAAAAAAAACCCTTTTATTAACTGATACACAGACTCCAGCTTTCATCAGCTCGTCCCTTCAGCTAACTTCTCAAGAAACACATCTGTTTTTTAATAAATGTCATTCCAGTGAAAGGTCTTTGTGCTATCATCTCTCAAGAATTACCTCTTTTATGCACCATCTGAAACGATAAAGTTACCAGCAGCAACAGTGGCAAATCTCCTGCTGCCGGCGGACCGCAGCGGCCCCACCCCGCCAGCTGATGCAGGAGCGCAGTCAGTTTCCAAGCAGAGACCACCACCAAGCCAGCCCTAGGCTGGGGAAACATTTTGGGAACAAGGGTACACGTCAGCCGGGAAGGGGGAAAACGCCAGTCCTTTCACACGAGGCGGAACGCAGCCGCGAGCCTCGAGGCTGAGCCACACAACCGAGTTCCCGCACCGTGACAAGCGACCGAGCACAACCGAGGAGAGCTTGTGTGCCTGGCCAGCCCGCAACAAACTGGAGGTAAAAATGTGCAAGCTTAAAACAGAGCAAGAGAGATTTTAGGGGAGAGGGGAAAAAAGCGTGAGCATAAAACAGCAAGAGAGATTTCAAGAAATATATTCAACCTCACACACAGTCAATTAGCATGGCTCAGCTGATGCTCAGCAGCTTTCCACGTGCCTGAGCCTTCAGTCATTTCTGACATCGGCCCAGCTGTGAGAGAGGCTCTGCATGCTGTTTCTTAGTCACCCTGAGACAAAATATAGGCTTTTGGGTGTCTGTCATCTTGCAGGCATTCTCTGAATTTGATGCAATGAGACCTACCTCCAATCACGGATGCCTTTCACAGAAGAAGAGAGAAAAAAATAGATATGTTTTTATAAAGCAGCCACCTCTTGCCTGTAATGGCAATTACATACTTGCCTAAAAATGGCAACTGAAACCCATGTTCATAAAATAACAAGCATGTAAAAGAAGAAAAAGAGAAGAGGAAAAAAAAGCTGAGAACAGACAACAGATCAGGGAATGCTAACCCACTGGCAATAGCTCACTACTGTTAAGAGTAATGATATATTAGAACTTGGGCATAAAATAAGCTTGCAGTAGCCCTCCGATATCTCTTATTGTCCCAAAATTATGATAATTAAGCAACTTATATTGATACTAATAAGAAAAATAAGACTACATTTATGATTCCGTATTCCCTGGATTTTACATGGTAGTTATTCATGCTTTTTGGTTACCTGATGAACATAATATTCAAGATCATAAAGCGCCGCTACTTTTTCATCCAGCGTAGAAGCAGAGCTGTTGAATTTGCCAATTAATTTAACCATGATTTCATAATCGGTTTCCAACTTCACGTTCAGCTTTTCAAACTCCTCCTTCAGCTCCTCTATGGGACGGAACTTCTTCCTCACCTCTTCCTCGTGGGCCTTGGAAACAGCAGACAAAAACCAGATATGAAGGCAGGTGAGAAACAGTCCTGAGGGAACAAGTCATCTCAGAAACAACCCCCAGCCCCTACATTATTTACAAGGTGAATGTGGCTGTCTCGGCAAATGGATTTACTGCTGTGCTTTGGAGATGCAGGGGCACAGCTGGAAGGTACCTAGACTCTCCTGGGAGAACATGTCAGATGCAAAGCCTGAGAGGACTTCTGCTCAGGTCAAGACTCTCGGCTGCTTGTGATGCTTCCTACTGCCTGACTTGCCACCTCCGGTTCAACTGAGTGGCTGCTGTAGATCCCACTGCACTTAGGCATTAACTCAGGGCCGCGGCCTGCACGCCGCAGCCCAGACACCTGGAGGTTATGCACTGCGGCACTAAGCACTGCAACATTTAAGGCAGATCCTTCTGAATGCAGCCCTAACAAGAGCAGAACAGCCTGCTGGGTGCTTTGGCACTTCTAAGAAGCCCATCAACCTAGTTATCTCTAAAATAATGCCCTTGGTTATCAGCATGAAATCCCCAAGAAGTTTAGCCTGCACCTATTTGTACACCATTTCTACATCCTATACGCCTTTCAAAAGGACATAAAGCACAAAAGCAGGAAGCACTGCTGTGCTCATTTTGCTTGGAAGTGGATGTTTTCAAGACCTGACTGGATAAAGCCCTGAGCAAACCTCCTCTGATCTTACAGACATCCCTGCTTTGAGCAGGAAGTTGGACTGGAGACCTCTGGGGGTCCCTTCCAACCTGAATTATTTTGTGATTCAATGCCACAATGTTTAGCCTAGCCAGCGGTGACATCAACATCTCCTCGGATGCGGGTAAAGCATCTTTCCTCATCCCAATCACTTAACACGTTTCAGAATCACTTTCTCTCTCACTGAAACATATGTATTTGCTATCGGGGCCAGAAGACAGAAGCTGTCAGAAAGCAAAGTCGAAGGACTAGCTGCGAGATGGCAAATGGCTGAAGTACAGGGCCAAGGGGCTTCTGCTGGCAGCTTGTTGAGCAGCGCTGCCTGTCTCCCTTATACAAAGGGTACCCTCAGGGGCTTGACAGAGCGCGAGAGCTGAGCAAAGGCATGCAGTAAGCAAGGAAAAGGCTCTCCCAGAGAAGGCTGCAGAGACCAACGCTCCAGCATCACTGCCAAAGACACCGGGTCAGGCAGGGAGTGGACCTGGCACAGCATGAGGAAAGAGAAAGCAGAGAGACCAGGCTGAAGATGGGCTACCCCAAGGGCAGGAGAAAGCAGCAAGGAAGTCTGTTCAGAAAAGGATTCTGTCACAAACAGAAATACTACGGGATGTTTTTACAGGTGATCCCCAACGAGAAGGTATGCATGGGCAGTGCTCCTTCCTGCCTAACACGCTCCGGTGACAACCACTGCCCCTTTTTGGTACGTGTGAATGAAACCTGAGGACTCCAACCACACAAGCAGAACTGTTTTTGCAATAGCATATACAGGAACATGCCTAGCGTACCACAATTTGCTTTGACATAGTTACTTCAATTTGTTCCCTGCAGGAGTGAGTTTAAATGGAGTACTTTGCGTCCATTAGACGTAGCTGTTTTTAGCTCAGTTGCTGGGACAATAACTACTTTAACAATTTTATTTTAAAATAAGGCTTATTTTCACGTAATAAGGTATCACTAATTTTTGCATTTAAATGATACCCCTTTCAAAAAGTCCTGCTATCAGTATTGCTGGCTGCTACATAAATAATCTTCTGGAAAATAAAATGCTGCCCAGGAACTGGATAAGGAAAAAAAGACCTTCTGGGACTCAAAGACTTCGTGGCCTTGACTCTTACCTCAGTTTTACTCCAGCTGAGGCAATGTCAAGGTACCAGGAGGAGCTAAGGCTCAGGGAAATATTCTTAAGTGGCAGAGGAGGAAAAAGGCTGTGATCAACCTGATGGGTCATCTGTCATCCAACCAGTACAATGCCAGGGACTACTACTGTCCTGGGGACCAGCTCCAAGCCCGAAGGGCGCTGAAGGAGCACAAGTAATTCATTTTATTTTAGATTGTGGGCTCTTTGTAACTAAACAGGCAAGAGCTGACAACCACGGTTCAAAGTCTACGTTAAACTAGTTGAGAAGTAAGTCTTATTCACAAAATTCCTTGGTGTTCTTTTCATGACTTTTCTGAAACAGGACTGCATCCCAGGCTTTATGCCGCCCTCGGTACCATCTCTGGCAGATTTGTCCCTGACTCCAGTAGAATAAGAACGAACCCAGGAGACATCCTCCTGATCAAGACAACCCCAAGTAACTACCGTACACTCGCCAATTTGCTGAGAACAGAATAATGAAACAACAGTGCTCTTTTTCTGCAAGCCATTCAAGTCCAATTCTTACTCACTGATTTACTATTTCAAAGTATTCACCCAGTAGCTGATATAAATAAACTTCAGCCTAGGCTTCACCAGAGCCATTTATTTTTCACTACCCAGGGCACGAGATTAGACACTTAAACCATGAGATCTCTCCTGGATCCTGCTGTGCCACTGAAAGGGGGTGTTATGTCCGATGGCTTGTCACCACCACTGAATCCAAAACGGAGTCTTAGCTGCACAATACTTTTTGTACTTTTTCATTCTAAGGAGAATAATGAAAAGAAAGTAACTTCCCAGACAAACAACCGCCATGCTGAAATTCATTCCACTTTAGGGTTTTGCAGACATTTTTTTGAACCAAGCAGCAGTTGAACAAATAAATCAAAACAATGGATAAAGAGATAATGCAAACAATGGAAAGGCAGTCAGCCCATGGGTTCACAGAAGCGTTTGCAAGAAATTCTTTGTATGACTAATTCGGGTCTAATCACACTGGTACCTGAACAGAAAACTTAGGGGAGAAGCAACTCAGCATAGAGCTTACTGATTGCAGCTGCTTTTCGTTCATAGGAAAGATCCCATGGTTTCCCTTTAGCATTGATACGTCAAGGAAGAAATCTGGTGTTTGGATGGTTATGTGAAGACTCTGTGTCTAGTTTGCTGGTTAAGATCCCCCTCGCTTGAGTAAAAACTAGAAAGTATCGTCATCTGATGGCTGACCCGTTGGTAAACTGCTGATCCCAGCCCATTCCATCACTGCAGCCCCTCTTCCACTGACAGACCATGGAATAATTATTACTGAGAAACACTGAACTATGGGGGTATATTTAAGTAATTACAGACAAAAGAATCAGCTTGCAACACAAGGCCCTTAAGCCTAAAATGAATAAAAGTGGTCTAAAGTTTTCCATTTTTACAAAAATCCCAGAATTAATAACAAAAGGGATGAAAGTTGTCCAAGAAATATGTAACTGGCAGAGCAGGGAAAGTATTTTAGGCACGCGTTCACCAGATTAGTCGGTGTAGTATTAGTCGGTGAGCAACTTCTTTAACCATCACATTTCCAGGACGTGCTACACAGGGCATTTGCACTAGTGTGTTGTACATTGATTTAGAATTAGGGAACTATCTTTACCATTCTTTCCATCTTCTCACTTTCCTTCATTTTAGCCAAAGCCTTTTTGAGCTCCTGTGATGTGAATGAACTTGAGTCAATATCCACCTTGCCCAGCCTTGCAGAGGAAAGAAAACAAAACGTTGTATGAGTGAACAATTTTATCTGTCTGATTTTCATGGCAATACAGTAACAATGGATAATATCAGGAAGAAAGAAGCTAAAAGCACTATATTTCCACATATCTCATCTACCATATAAAGAAAAACTCCATGCTCAACAGAAGATTAGGCTGAGTGCTACATTTCTTGTGTGGTTTGTAGACATCTCACCCTGACAATCATAAAAGGCTTCATAATCTGCATGCATGATCCAGAATCTCAACTCCTAACACACAATAAAAATAGCCAATTTATTTAGGCTTCTGAGTTGCATGTAGGAATATAAAAAAGAGGAAATGGGACACAGCGGTGTTTTTTTGCCTGTGAAACTAGAACAGCGCCAAGGACTTCCAAGCTTTAACATGGATGCACGGAGACCTACAGCTGAAGTGCTCATGATCGTTATACACAGATCAAGTTAGGGAAAGGGTAATTCCAAAGAGAAATTAAACGGAAATGCTAAGCAGCACATTGTGCTCCTCTTTACATTGACCTCATTGGTTTGGGGAACTTATCTTGGCCTGTAACACTCTTGCACAGGCAGAAGGAAAGCCAAAGATTGGAGCACTGTTAAGAGCTTCTTCCTACCTTGAATGTAAGTAAACAGGGGGAGGGAAGGAGGGAAGGGGGGAGGGAAGCAATGGCAGATCTCATGCACTTTGGGAAAGAAAGCTCCCCACAGTTATTAAGCCTCTTTGTTGTGAACATACCAGGAGGAAGGTCAGCGCAAGTGAAATTTTTTTTTTTAAACAAACTAAAAAATCTGGGTACAGCAAAGGCTGTGAGATCTGAGGAGAACAGCAGCAACAACTGATGTGCAAATGAATGCTCTAAGCCCAATAACAACAGCAAGTTAAACCTACAACTAAGGCCAACAGAAACAAAGCCCTCACAACTGCTCTGGTGGCTTCAGTGCAGAGAATCGTTTCAGACTGACTGCTGCAGATGTTTCCAAGGAGCACGTGTCCTTCACAGCACCATGCTGCACGTTTAGTTTCGGAATCACGGCATGCGAAGCTATGAAGACCTCTACGAATATGCGCTCAGAGCACTTCTACCGCTGTGCCAAAAGGGAAAGCAAAGGATAGGGCCCAGTTTTCAGAACTGCTCAACACCTAAACCTGCAATTAAGTCTCTGGAAGAGATAGCAATTCAGCACACCAGGGAACCTGGCTTCTAATAAAAGACACAAAACCTACAGCCCATCTATCTCTGCAGAGCAAGAAAGCAAGTACTTAACATGACTGTACCTTTTTCTTCTTTTCTCTTCTCTCCTGCCACTTTTTCCATTTTCACTGTCTGAGAGTTTGGCTTCTCTTTCTCCTGTCTGCAGATTTAATCGTACATGTGACCCTGCAGGAACAGCTTGACCTACAAACAAAGGTTAGATTATTTTAGGCCACACGCATTATTTCAGGTTTGCACGCACAGGGAAGTCACACACTTCTATTTGAGAGAAAGGGAATCAAAGCCGCATAAAAGCCTTGGCCTGTATTGTGAAAAAGAGCAGGGCTTTTCACTCTGACCACTCTTCCTTTCAGCCCTCCAGCAATGCCCCTTTGACACAGGGGCCACTTCAGTCTTTCAGAAATACCATGCCCATCTGCCTGAGCACTTCTTCCCCAGCTGCATGCCCTTCCAGCCAGGCTGCTGACTTCATTACAAAGCGTGTTAGGGGAGGAGAGCCCCTGAGCCAGGCAGAGCTCCCATGAAGAACACAGGCTCCCATCTTCATAAAGCAGTGATTTAACCTTAGCGCGCCAGTGCCTAAGAAACCACTACAAAGCTTCATCAGGAGTTGATTTTGAGATTCTATGGACACGGGTAAAGGGCATAAAACACACAGCCACCAAGATGAAATCAGAGCAGACATCAATTGTTCCTTCAGCCACATACACTGAATATCAAGTGGACCACTATGAGGTTGTATTGCTTTGGAAACTTGTATTAAAAGAAATAGTTGATCACTGTTATATGCCAACGAAAATACATGGAATACAACATTAAGGTCTTATTTTAAATAAACGAAAGATGTGAAATTCAGACCGTTTTTCTTGGTCATTTCTTGGAGAATGCCACAATTGCATCAAAAACATGTCATGAGGGACAACCACTGCACAGGGATGGAGAGATGGCAACATTTAATTCCATTGTCTTGAGTTGGCTCCTCTCTTTTTAATGCAAGAAATCTGCCTGCTTAAGAGAGCAGGGTCACAGCTGAGCGGATGTGGAGATCTCGGCTGTATACACACAGCAGTACCCAGGCAGACACGCGGTTGCTCTTGCTCCCCGCTATGAGAATTCCCTATCCAGTCCTCCCCTTTTCTGTTTCCTTTTTGCCTAAAAAGATGTCTAGAATAAAACAACACAGCTTGTATGAGACAGATAGCATTTCCTACCAAAGGGAAATGAAAGCGAGGATAATAAAGGATTTCTTGCAAGAAATACGACGTGTTCTCATAAAACAAAATCCTCTCGTCTAGGGAACATCCAGACCGACTCCACCTACTCAAGACTAAAGAGACTTTTTACTAATCATAGGATTTAGCGTTTCCTACATAAGACTAGAATGTTTGCTACAATTTAGACAAAAACATTTCAAAGCCTAAAGACTCACAACAGGTACAAATTCATTTACAGACTCCAGAGAAACCCAACTTAGAGGATTTCCTATTAAAACAAGCCATATTTCTGATAGCCTTTCTCTCCACCATACCCTTTCAGCAGAAAGTAGCATCTGTTATGGAGAAGGACAGACACGATTACCTATCTCCTTAAAGTGTGCAGGGACAAGTTAAACGTGCCATTTCTGTGTGCCAGTGAAGAAGCACATATATACTCCTTGGTAAGCTTTCCACTGGTGATCCTCCTGCCCCAGCTTTTCTGTGGCTCCATAAGCCACAGAGGCTTTAATCTATATGTCTAGAGACGAGCATCTTCCCATCTTCAAAAGGTGAGCTGTGCAGAAATTTGCTGTGATAGCTGAGATGTTCCCCTTGCAGGCAATCTGGCTGGAGCAGCTACGATTTGCCTTGCAAAAATGAGTTTGTAAAAATTCAGTGCAAAGGATGACACCTCATCTCCTTTCTGTGTTTCAGGAGACGCCAAGACAGGAGACTCCCGGCAAAATAAAACGCATAAAACAGTGTTACATGCTGAACATACAAATACGTTAGGATGTCTTCCTCTTCCACAGGTACGAACACCACTTAGCCTAAGAGAAAGAGGGGAGAAAGCTAGGTGCTTCCGATCCCAAAGCGAGTGCCTTTCCTCGCCAGGTCAAAAGCTTTCAGCCAGCCACAGTTACAAACACATTATTTTCTGAAGCAATTCCTGAATTGTCAAATGTAGCCAGAAATAAATGTCCCTGTTAGAATAGTACTGTATATTCTAGCTTTCATGTTCCTTGTGCATCTGGACACATTAGTTCACTCTGTTGCCAGGGGAGAGGAACAAGGCTGATGGGCTTTACTTAAAAGAAACATAAAAAGGGAAGGAAACCGAGCAGCCTCCAGTAGCCTGAATGACTCCCATGTGACCAGTTCTCCGAGCTTCTATTTTCAGCAAGCAGTAAATAAAAGAGAATGTGAATCCCAGCGTGTACGAGCTTACAAACGCAGCACAATTGAATTAAGGACGTTACTATCAGAGAAGACACAAACCTTTCCTCCTTCACCTTCTTCATACTTTCCCAAACGGAATTTGACTAAGACTGCGCCAAACCCACGAGCAGAAATCTCAGCATGGACGTGCTTAAACGGCAGTCGCTCCAACAACCACCTCTTCTTGCCACTGCGCGCAGCAGCGCAGGTTCATGCCACAGCAGGACAAACATACTGCTTTATTAAATAAATTAAGAACGACATCCCTGTTTTCAGGAACAAGATTTCGGTAGTCACTTAAAACATGCAAGGTATTTGAGACAGGATGAGGCCTCCGCTCTTGTTTAGTTTGGGAGATTTTTAACTACTATTTGTAAAGTGTGCTTCAGGTTGGATTGACATGAATAATGTGATTAAAATCACTAATTTAAATGAGCAAGCTGAAAAACCTGAATTCTAATCTTGTTTCAATATGTAGCTCCTAGACATTACCCTTAAAAAATAGTTGATTCTCTTTGATTCCTATAATTTGATACTATTCAACAACTAGGAGTACACACCAGATCTATACATATGTAAGCAGTTATATAGCTTCCCATTCTATTGATATAGAATTGTATTCTTAACAGGTTTTTTTACTAGAGAATTTCATTTTTCCTTATTTGTATCAAGTTGCATTTGGGAACTGAAATTCAATTTAAAAATGCATAAACAATCTTAGATTTCAGCAATTTTAGCACCTTTTACCTCCTCCTTGATACATAAGGAAAATAAAAGCATGCTCATCAAGTTTCGCATTGTAAGTGGAGGCACTGAGGTTATGGAAATTAACCTGTTATTGAATGGTAACATAGAAACGGGGTAATAACAGAAAAATTAATAAATCCATTTCATTTAAAATAAAAAAAAAAAATCTGAGCACCTATTTTTCCCCCACGCTAGCCAGAGCAGAGCTGCTGATGGGCTTCCCCACCGCAGGGCTGCTAGGAGAGCGGAAGGGACGCTGGCCGGCGTCTCTGTCCGCGCCACCCTCGGGGCCAAGACTGCTGTCACAGAAACTCAACCCCTGGTTTGGTTTCAGTTGTCCGAGGCGAATCGAACTGAGCCAGACTGGCGGGTTTCAGCAGTTTTCCCCCCGGTGTCACCGGGCTCCCGGGTCCAGATGCGATCCGGGCTCGGCCTCAGCGTCTGCTGCCTGCCGGTCCCCTCCATCAGTCAGCCCTGAGCCTCGCAGCCAGAAAAAACAGACAACGTCCAACAGGCAGAAGAGGATAGCAAACGCTGACTCTGCACGAATGACAAGGTATTTATCGGAAATAAATGTCAAAGCAAAGTATGACTTATTTTCAAAGCAGGAGACACTGATCCTGTGGCAATGCACTACCACAGTGTTATTCTCACTGTCGATTTAATCCCTTTATCTATCGGAGCTGGCTGCGAGGCTCGAGCCTCGCCAGCACGCGGCTTTGGGCATCTGGACAGGCTTTCCTCTCGGACCGAGGTGCGTGGAGTCCCGATGGAGACCAGCACCCACGTGAAACGGGGCACGACCGCTTTACCACCCGTGCTCCTCCCCGAATAAAGCGTCCCGCTCGCCGGCTCCCACGAGCCCTCCGAGGCACAAAGTATTGGCATGCGAAAACCACACGGTGCTTCTAAGGTCTTTCTGGCCTATTTGCATTCATCCGATTTGGACGTATCCCGTCTGTCTTGAAAGCTGCTTAAAGCGACACCAAGGAAGAATTTAATTTATAGCCCTATTCTTTTAATCTTGGTCAGCCAGATTTTTTTCAGACATCCGTTTATTTCTTCTTATAATATATTAGATGGAATAACAGCACCGGAGTCAGCTTCAAGGCACCAACTCGCTCTCAGGGGTTCTGTTGACATTTATAAACTGATCCTATTTCTCTCTTGTGTTTTATGTTATCAGCTAAACCTGTCGACTTAAATTATTGCCTTGTAACCAAATCACAGTTATCTATTATTCTGCTATGTGTACATTTCTGGAGCTTTGCGCCTATATCAAGTTTTGCAGAGGGTGAAAACAAGACTATAAATAAATAAACAAATGGAAAACAGCATTCACTCCCATTACGTTGACGGGAAAGAGCCGGGCGCATTATGCACAAAACGATCACAATTAGAGGGCTCCTGGGCTGAAGATGTATCACGCAGTAATATTCAAGTAACTCTACCCTTTTTTCAGCAAGGATCAAACGGCCAAGCATGTTACCTCGTTAAACGAGAAAGGTCTAATCCCACGCAGCACACTTCCAGTACGTCACTTCATTTAGTGCTGGCCACAGTTGGCTGCTGGTTTTGTGGAGACACACAGGGGCAAGGCTGAGCCCCAATTCATTATATATAGCAACAGGAAGGCATTAAAACAGCGAGGAAGGTTTTACCTCATGCATATTCATGCATATAGCAGCTTTACAACATGGGTTATATGTGCTAAGTCACACAGAGATCAAGTAATAACTTACTCTGCTGCTGTGATGAGTTTCCCCATCTCCTATCCACTACTCATCCCTCTAACTTGCCCAATTCCCAATCGCAACCCGCCAAGCTGCCGAGTAAGGGCTGCGCGGCACGGCCACAAGATTCTCCTCCTCCAGAAACACCTCCAGGCACCGCTTCGGCCCCTGCGGCCGAGGAGGGCCCTTCTGGGAAGGCTTCTGCAACCAGAAAAAGGGGTGACCCAGTTCTCCAGCTCCCCGAGGCAGAGCCCTCCGCTCCCACACCTGCCCAGCCCCCTGCCCACCT